GTAGGAGGTTTCACTTCTTTTTAGGTCGGGATGAGGCCAACTCCATTTCCTGGGTGAGCTTTTTGTTTCTTTTGTTTTTATTGTTTCAATTTATGCAAGCGCCTTAAAAGTTCCTATCGTCTGAACTGTTCCAACTTCCAAAACATTTATAGTTTACAAGTCGAGTTCAAACAACGAAGAAAAAAAAACAGAAGAAACTCACCTAGGAACCAAAACACTAATCATTTTACGCAACATCAACAGGTGAAAACTTTATAACCTCATGTATAAGCTCGACGAATGAAAAAGAAACAATAAAAACCTACCCTAAATGAAGCTCTCACGCTTTTTGCTCATTTCTATCCTGAATCAAGAAAGAAAATAGAAAACAAAAGCCATTAAGATGGGTTCACCTTTCTTTGTGTCAAACCAAGCTTCAGTACCTAAGAAAACCGACGATCGCGGCGATTGCCGAGGTCGCCGAGGTCGCCGCGATCGCCGCTGCTGTCGCGAAGAATGAACGCTGCCTAAGAGAGGGCAGGCAGCACAAGAACTCGTTTAAGCACCTCTCCCTACTTCCCGTTCAAATCAACAGTGACTTCGCGAAGTGCACTACCGCTGTGCGAATTCCATCAGGAGGGGATCGTCTTTGGCATTAAGAGTTTTTTGACGGTTACTTCCCTTCACACTCGCCACTATCGAAAAGTTTTGGAAAACTTGGTTAGGCGACCAATGTGTCGGAATTCGTTCGGTTGGTTGCGAAAGGCTAGTGGCACCGACACCGCCATTAGGCTGCATTCACACCCCGAGACGGCGGTACTTCGGTCGCACGTTCCGCCGCGATCGATGCGCATGCTTTCGACCACGTCAATCGCGTCAAATGTGCGACCGAAGCGCTGCCGTCGCGGAGTATGAACTGCCTTACACAAATCTCTGTGATGTGCCTTGTGTCTACCACACGCTGCCGCCGTCGCGCTTACAAATGTTAGGTCATCTTCTTCGAAAAAGTAGAGACATCTAGACGAATGGCAGGAAAGCAAAGGGGCTAGAGCTGCTGACTTCTATATCTCTCGGCTGTGTATCTGTGAAGTTTGGCTAATCTAGCCACAGAAGAAAGCCTCGAGAAATTGAAAAGAAGTCCGAGTGGTCAAAATCGAGCGTCATTAGGGGGAAGAGCTGCTCAATATCATTTTGTACCAGTCCAGTAAAGCAGTTGTGTATAAGCGTGTTCCTGGAACAGAATGTGGAAAGCTGGTTTAGAAGCCCAAAGAAGGAGAAACCAAAAAGAAGTTGTGGTGGAGGAGGGCCCCACAATGTCCATCCTTCACAAGCCCCCCCCCCCGGTTTGAGCGGCGCTCAACGCAGTAGTCTATGTTGGTGGGGAATTCACGACCTCGAACTCAGGCCCCGAATCACGGTCGCGTGGCAGAATCTCTCGATGGCGCTCATCCAGAAGGTTGTGGCGGAGTTTCCTGATAGTGCACGATAGTGTTCTTGAATTTGATGGTGGAAGTGTCCAACAACAGTTTGATAGAATGCAGCTTATTTCGCTCTGAAGACGAGAAGAAAATTGCCTTTTCCCCTGTACACCTCGCATATAGTGAGTCAGTTCATCAGAATTACAGCTAGTGCTGTTCCTTTTCTCCGAGTCCTTTTAAGCAAGACTTGAACTCTTTGTGTCAGTCACAAATCACATTCCCGATCGCATCCCCATTTTTCCGAACTAAACTTTTGTAAAACGCCAAAGTCTCCGTATGAATGCTGTAACAAAGCCCAGGCTCTATATTTATTAAAAGCAAACAATCAGCGTTTATCGATCGAACCAAGCGAATATCATAGTGAAATTTCATCGAAGAGAACACTAGACTGATCTATCCCGCTTTCACAAAGAACGCAGCTATACCCGTGCACTCTCCGAAAAAGTCAGAAACAGCTTCAGGACCCCATAAGGCAGGAACAGAAATGTCCTTTGAACCAGATCGTTCCAGAAAATTAGGTAAAATCAACAACATTGTCATAACTAAACATCTCATGTCATAATCTCATAGTATATCAAAACATCTGCAGACTAGTTCAGTTCCTCTCCGGCATTTGATTCACAGCTGATATCGATAACTTTGCCTGAAATGATTTCGATATCAAACCGAGCTATAATAAATGAAGGAAGTGTAGGACACACGTTCCGGACCGCGTGACACATGTGGCGTATCATGAATTTGTGTCTATGTGGCGTTTTACTCAATTAATTTGGCTCTTCTTTCATGCTCCAGTGTTGTCAAAACACTGGAGCGTCTCGGCGACGGAAGATACTTATCTCACAAGCGATCAAAAAGAGGGAGGGAAGTACTGATGATTTACTCATGAAAAATGATAAAATGATCCGGAGATGTGCGCAGTGGGGCGGGCCGCAATCTGTTGGACATCACAGAAAGTTCGTTCTGAACTTCACTTTTATGCAATACACACAATTAGTGTACCACTTGTAGAGCACCCACTCACAAAGCGGGCGGCGTGGAGCGTTATTTTCGGGTCGCGGCATCGCGCACACTACCAGAACATTTTATAGCTAGTTGAGCGGATACTGGCAGAGAGAGGTAGTCGACTTCAAAGATGCAGATGCAGTGTGAGCGAGAGAGTCGACGTGCTGCAACACGGCTTCGTTTAGGAGATCGGGTCCGGCCGCGAATGCTGCGAAGCCTATTTAGTAGCGAATAGGAAGTCAGCCGCCATACTGCTCACTCGGAAAGGAGAGTAGGTCGCTGTTGAAGA